CACCCACACCCACCCACCCACACCCACACCCACACCCCACACACCCACACCCTAGCCACACACTCACCTCCACACCCGCACCCACACACCCACAGCCACACATACCTACACCGTCATTACCACACCCCACTCATAAACGAAGAGAGCAAAGGATAGAGTCAATAAGGTTTGATTATGTTTATTTCACAGTCATCTTGGCAAATAAGTTTAAGTTATTTTTTTCACTGTGGCAACATGACGCATTTCTTGAGTCATTTTCAGTCACGTACAGTCATTAAAAATTGTACCGAAATCAAAAAATTCCCAACTCTGATTGGAAAAGTGCAATGAAAGAATGAAGTATTTGTATCTACTATATAAACTACTGTTGAGATCATCTTTCAACACTCACAACATCTGATTTTTTTTATATCACTGTTACTACGAATACGCACTTCTGAACGAGTCTTAATTAATCGGATAATATAATTCATTTACTTTGGTTTTTTTATATGACGATATTTTGGTATGTAGTGAATGTTTTGAGAAAAAAAGATGTGTTATTCTATATTCTAATCCGACTTTGTATTGCTGTTTTACGCTTCTCCTGAAGATGTCACTTACAGTGTTCTTAGACTCTTTCTAGTATACTAGGGTTTAAAGCGAGTTTCTTCGCAAGATTCTGAGTATTTATTCGCCCTTCTTAATATTAAACACAACAATTTTATTCATATAGAAAATTTTTCAGTTCAATAATTAATAATAATGTCAAATATTATGATTTTTATTTTTCAGTGTACGTACTGAACGGTTGATTGAAAAAATGATTTTCGACATAGTAAAATTGATTATTACTCTGGTACATGCACTGTACGCTCCACGTCGAAAATACCGAACTCAAGCTGCATTGGGTATGTTCTGATAATTTTATACAAATAAATTCTAAGGAGTGTTTCACAAATGCACTGAATGAGTTGCTGAAGATAGATCTATATCGTGCATTGCGCCTAGATGCTCTGTCACCTTGATAGACAATAAAAACGAAACTTTTTATTTCAGTTGAAAATTTATGAGGTAATTGGTTCAATCAGGATATTGTCAAATGGAAGATAAAAGAATGAGAGAAAATGAGATGAAGAAATTTTATTTGAACTATCTAGATGATGTGAAAAATAATCGATGTTCGATTCTCTTTTCTCTCTTTCGAGTAATATTCAACAGTAGCGGATCCAGAAAATCAGTAAGAGGATGTCGAGTTTTCGTAGGAAGTGGCGGGCATGGGCAAAAAAATGCGATTCAACGCCTATTCAAAGTAACGACACATTTTTTTGTTCGTTTCTGTTGTGAAAAATGTAAAGTTTCACGAAGGCATGAGGTTTGCTGAATCGCCGTACTGTTGGATCCGTCATTGAACTCAATAAGAATCAATAAAATGATTTATGTTAACATTTTCCGACTTTTTATAAAGTAAATAATTATTTCTAACATTTATTTGATAGATTTAATCAAAATCGAATTGAAAGAAATTTAATTTAGTGTTCTTTAAAATGTTAATTGCTTTGTTTTCTAAAAGAAGTTTCTTAATCTCATTATTGAAATTATTGCAAAAGTTTTCCGTCTGGTTCAATTTGAGTTGTAATAATGTTGACGTGATAGAATCATAATCGAAGATCATAAGCATTTTTCTATGTCAGATTGTAATAGAAAAGCAGGAAAATCAGAATAGTATGATCGTGTGTTCGAAATACAAGGCTTCGTGTTACATCTAATGCAGTGGTTGAAAATCGTAATGAAGAAGTTCAAATGTTTCGAACATATATCTAACGGTATTTTTTATAGAAAACGATCGGAAGAATGGAATGACATCGGTAGGAAGTTCGTAAAAGAATTTATTATGAGATCCTAAGAGATATGCAAACTTTTCTTTTTGTTTTTATTGACCATGATAGAAGTCTTTTACCTATTACATTCATAATTATATGAATAAGTGTTTGCATTTCTATATATCTACTATCTGTAGTTTAGTAACTGTAGAAGTTGTCTCTATAAGAATGAAACCTGATAGATATAGGTGGGAACCGAGTGACTGAGCCGCTACAGCCAACTTCCTAAATCTTTCATAGACGACGTCGATCAACTCATTGACTTACGTCTCTGCATGTAATGTACGAAAAAGTAAACACTCTACATTCAAACATAATTGACTGCACAAGTGATTCAGCAGTGATGATGGATGAGATTAAATCTTCATAAAGAAATGAAATATATACTCTTCAGGAATAATCTGTCATGAAGAAAATAGTGTACTTTGTGGTTACTTCTTTTTCTTAGAGAATAACTCAAATTAACACAAGCTTTTTTTCCTTGGTTCAACCTAATTTCACTTTAATTTCAGGTGTCCTAAACCGTGGTCATTCGTGGCCAGACTTCGGTTGCCGCATCATCAGACAATATATTTGTGAACCTTTTTCTGCTTTCATTACGATCACTCTATCTTTGTCATTACGAACTTCCAGACTTTCTCTTTTTGATCTATAGTCAAAATTTTGCAATTCAACCATTAACAATGGTTTGATAGAGTTCGTTATGAACTTCTAGACAAACTTCATTCCGAACATCATTTTTGAGAAACACGATCTGAAAGAAGTATTGAAATGTTTAGGAGCAGCAATTTGGATCTGTCACAAATCGTGATAGATAAGACTTAGGGTTCATTATAGACTGTGATAGAGGACTTGAAGGAAATACCGTATATGATACATAACTAACATATGATTGAAGCATATATGGTGTATTATCCTGTTGAAATTATATAATGCAATGTAAGCTATTACAAGAAATGCACATCAGTATGCATAAAAACGACAGATTTTAGAACATCGGCTAAAGCAATTACATCGTGTTTCATATTTTTAATCCCACAAAGGATGGCACTAGCCGCTTTTTTTGCTATATTTCATTGACTTTTACCATTGAGAATTCTATTCCGAACATCCTATCTTTTTTCTTGTGTTGAAATATCCTAACAGACTATTTCTGCCCGAGTTCATAATGAAACAGTAAGACAATAAATAACCTTTCTTATAGACGATATTGAAGTGACTTTTATTTTCTTTCGATGCATATTGATATAATATTAATACGCACAGTTGTGTTTTGTTTTAGAAATATTTCCACAAACTTCCAATGCAACTAGATGGAAACAACATGGAATTACGGTAGCTGGAGGAAATGGACCAGGCAAGGAAAAAAATCAACTTCACGAACCACTTGGTTTGTGTATTAATCATGACAATGAAACTATCTACATTGCGGATGCTCGAAATCATCGTATTACAGAATGGAAACGTGGTGCGACGACTGGTCGAGTTGTGGCCGGTGGGAACGGACAAGGAAATCGACCTGATCAATTGAATCGGCCGACAGATGTAATTTTTGATAAAGGAACAGATAGTGTCATCATTTGTGATTATGGAAATAGAAGAGTAGTTCAATGGTCTCTTCATAGCGATAAACAAGGAGAAACAATCGTTTCAAATGTAGGATGTGTAAAACTAGCAATGGACTATGATGGATGTATTTACATCGTTGATGAAGATAACCACGAAGTGAAACAATATCGAATGGGAGAAAATGTCGGAAGAGTTGTAGCAGGTGGAAACGGCCGAGGGAATGGTCTCAATCAACTGAATTATCCGTCACATATATTTGTCGATCGAGATCATTCAGTCTATGTATCAGATGGAGCTAATCGTCGTGTAATGAAATGGATGGAAGGTGTGAAAGAAGGCATTATTATCACTTGTGCTCAAATTCATGAAAACAGTCTTACACAATTATTACATCCGCAAGGGATTTTCGTCGATAATTCAGGTTTTGTTTATGTGGCTGATCAATGGAACCATCGAATAATGCTCTACGTTGAAGAAGATAAAAAGGGAAATGTGATTATTGGTAAATACGGCCAAGGAAGTCAATCAAATCAACTCTCCCATCCCGTTGGTTTATCATTTGATCGAGAGGGTAATTTGTACGTGAGTGACTGGAGAAATGCTCGAGTACAAAAGTTTTTAATAGAGAAGATGCAAAGTGACTGATGTTTTTTTCTTGTGTGTTTGAGAATTACTTATATTAAGTAAAAGAAAAGGATATTTGGAACCAATCAATAAATATATTAGATATTTTCGTGTCTATGTGCGTGGGCGACAACGGCAAATTCCCAGCTACAACGAATATCTGCGTAAGAGAGACAGGAGGAACGTGAGTGTGAGTATAGATGTAGATAGTCAAAGTACCAACACCTACACTCACACTCCATTCTTTCACTTCCTAGTTGTAGATATGACTCTGACAGTTCTATTTCAGTTCACCGGAGCTGGGGTGTGGGTGGGTGTGGGGATGATGAGAAGATCTACACCCACACCTTACACCCTCACGAATAGTGTCAATACTTCTTTACGTTCCATGTACTGCATTCCCATTCAAAATTTCCTGAATCCGCCACGACTCCGAAGAACTAAACTATGGCAGTGACATCCACATATGTCTGACAAAAGAGATTATACTCAGTTTGCTAAGAGGTAATGCAACAAAATGCATTCACAAAATTTTTGCAAACACGTACCATACTCTTTAGAATTTCACTAAAAATCCCTTTCCTTACTACCACATCAACTAACAATATGGTTTTCCTAGACGAACTATTTTTCTCCTCTTCTTGATCCAAACAGTTCTCAAGATATATTCATAATGCATGACATTCTTGTTCGAAAGATTTCTGTTATTCATGCGCATACCACAAAAAATTCGTCTAAGATAACTACGACATAATTAATCTAGAGAGGCATATTCCGTCTTTTTACCTATAACTTAAAAAAACTATATATGGCATTATTGATTCGTTTCAATGCGCAACTGAAAATAACTAGTTGTTTGATTGAAAAAATGATCTAAGCTTTGAAGTCTTGATTCTGCAGAGAAATGAACTCCTCCATTGGATACTTCATCAGTGTGTACGAAAAACAGCTTATTTGATTAATGAAAATCTTGGTGTCTTTTCAATATTAAATAACAGTCATGTATCAGAAAAAAATACTCAATGGTTCATAGCAAGACACCGTTGCTATAGAATTAATCTGATCTGTAACTATCAACTAAACCAGTAACAATTACCATCAGCTATAAATGGATAATAAACAATGGTACATTCCAACACGAATAGCTGCTGTCACCAAGAAAAGTCATAAAGATACCACTGGAGATTTAAACAGCTACAAAAAATATCATATTCTAATCGTTATGAACAAAATATAGAAGTTCAATTACATCATAATGCTTTTGGCGGAAGAAACTTCGTAGAATTGACAAAGAATCAATTACAACCAATCAAGATATCTGTTTACTTCTTTTTCGATAATTTCCTTACATGAAGTTTGAGAAAAGACTGTCATCAATGATTTGATGAAGCATGCACGTCAAAATTTACTATTGAATTTTAAAAAATGATAGCCTATAAGCGAGAATGATCAGAAAATAATAAACATTGTATTCTGATTTTAGCCGAACAGAATGAATACTTTTTTTATTTCATAGACTGAAAGGCTAAGGTATAGAAATCGTAACTCACCTATGTCTGTCTGTAGCAAGATCTTGGTACAAATGATCGCACAAATAAAACCATGTGGATGTCATCCTTTCGTCAGTCATGTAATAGATTAAAAAACAAATGAGATTTTTATTAAGAGATTTGATTCAATTTCCATTGTGATATTTGAACTTCAAGATATAATCGTTTCCATTAAGGTTTTATACGGTTCAGATCATTCATTAAACCAAAAAGAAGATATTTATCTTTTTTTTTGATTTTTATATCACCCTGATTATGTTCTGATACTTCTTGACAAAAAACATCTCTTTGTTAATTTTCCTACTAAAAAACTTCTTTCCTTTCTTTACATTTGACATATTAACACAGATTGAATGCTTATTTATTTATATGAAATAGAAAATTTAACGCATAGTACCATTAATAATATACTCATTCTCATAATAGTTACTTGTTTAACCTAAGAAAAATGAAATATGAAGAATTTTCGTTTTTGGAGTTATTGATTAAAATGATTCTTCTATTTGAGACAACTATAATAATTGATGTCATTCTTTATGATTATTGAATTGTAATTGGTTTGCAGCTATCGTACATATTAACGATCTTTTTTTCTGTTGAAGATCTCACTAATGATCTTGAACAAACAACACAATAATCACAAATGACATTAGCTTTACATCCATTTATATAATGAATTCGTTCTGGTGATCTCTTAAAACAAACATTTCATCTAATATTGAAAACTTTATGTTTTTCAGCAGAGTCAATATTAGTATAACTCACACAATCTGTACTTTGACAACATACGTTTGGTTTTTTTGATAATTTTATACATTGAGTACCATCACATGATAGTCTTCAACGACATATTGATATAGATGAAAAAAACTGAAACTTATTCGATTAGAAATAGACTAATTTAATATTTTCGGCGAGGTTCTTCATTGTTATATTCGAAATCGGCATGATTCATAGTCTCCAATACACCAGCATGCAATGAAACCATGATTAGTTAACTGAAAACATTTTTTCGTGAGACTTTTTAAAATTGTTTTTTTTTATATGAATTCAATTGCCTATTCATTAAAGAAAGTATTATCAAATTGGCAAAAAAGAAAAGAGCTAATTCAACTAACAACATCTCAAGATGCAAAACTTATTGTATCTTCATACAACTAATAGCAAAAATTATCTAACTTGAACGAGCTAATTGAATATCTTATAAAGAGTGATTTCCTTTTTGAATGCATGCATCCATAATATTTTTCATATTTAGAGAACAAATCAGTTCAAAAAAAACAGTATTTTCTATTTGAATTAAACAGACAATAAAACGAACATCAACCAATTCATTGAAATTTTATAAAAGTATACAAAAGTTTGAATTATTTGAAACAGTTGTTTTCTTTGGTTCATTTGTTTGTGAGATATTAACATCCTTTGTTCTATCTGAAACTGATGGATTTGAGTTACTAGTCTGATTAGAATTTTGATTTTTCGTTTTATTATCTCTATTGACATCTGCTAATTTATTTATTTGATGAATAAGTTCAACAAATACCTAAATGATATGAAAATTAATTTTTTGTTTTTGTTTTTGTGAAATATATTTTAAAAAATTGAACCTCATTAACATTTATGGCTAGTTTTGCAGATGTTTCTAGAAATATTGAATTCCAATTGTTTGCTAATCCTTGACCGATTTCTTTTCCAACTACACGTTCATCTTCAAGATCACATTTATTTCCTACTAATACCATTGGTACCTATATTCATTATCTAGTATAAGATAATATCGATAAAACAAAAGAGAAATTTTCTTACATCAGAAGTGTCTTTAACTCTAAGAATCGTATCACGTATATTAATCAGTTCATTATATGTTGATTGAGAAGTTATTGAATATACAAGTACAAATGCTTGACCAGTTTTCATATATAAATCTCGCATAGCAGTAAATTGTTCCTGAAAATCTTTCTCTCATAATGTTCATATATGATAGATTTGAATTGTAGAATACATTTATGTTTGTTAGCCTCATTACAATAGTACAAAAATACTCTAAATGAAAACTCTAACAGACTATAATTATCGATCAAAAGAAAAACAATCTGTTGCATCGATTTCATACTTTGGTACAGTCATTTTCTTTAAAAATTTTCATGAAGTCAAGTAACAATATTGAAAAAGTTTATTTTATACATCTCATTAAACATCGTCGAGAATAGATCGAACTGATATATGATAAGATCATAGAAGAATTTCAAAAATTTATTTTAACATTCTATTGATCAAAAAGTGTTTTCATCTATGATAACTAAAATTTTACTTTTTGATATCTCTCATAATTATATTATTGTCAAAAACAAATTTAAAAAAAAAACTTATTTACAATCGATGTATGTTTAAAATCTCCAAGTGAAAAAAGAAAATTACAACCGACTTACAGTTCCAGCAGTATCCAAAATTTCACTAATATGAAATATACACTAAAGTACTAATGTTTCTAAGAATTCAAACTCACAGTACATATTGTTGTCCATCGATTTCAATGTGTTTTAGATAATTATCTTCAATCTATTGAAAACAAAAAAAAAAAAGAAGATAAATTTTTTAAAATTTATATGAACAAAACTCACTGTTGGATCATATTTTTCAACAAATATTCCTTGAATAAATTGTGTAATCAACGATGTTTTACCGACACCACCACTACCAAGTACGACGATTTTATATTCATACATTTTCTTAATCTTTTTCTTTTGAAATCAAACAATCTGAAAAATATGCAATTGATGAGTTCGATTTGAGAATTAGTACTACGAATGTAACAATCAAAATTAAATAATAATGACAAAAATAATGATCGATTATTTTATCGTAGAACAGTTAAGTGCCTAAGATCATCCTGATCTATAAGTTCTTAATATTTTAGTAAAAAGAAAGAATAATCATTGAAAAACAAATAGAACTATGCTGTAAATGTTTCCAATTGTTTTCCTTCCTCATTATGAGTGAATGCCATTTGTGACATGAATGTTCTATTTTTCTACTATCCCATATACACTTTTTAATATGTACTCATAGACCAATTTAAAGGATGTAAGACAATAAACAGATGAGTCTGCAAGTGATACAAAGGATGAAAGGCTAGATAGACTATGAAAATATGTGCAATAGAAGAGTATAGAGTTGCCAGATTTCAATCTATATGCATAATATCACGTATCTGTATATCAGTAATCGAAAAAAAAAGTTAAACATCTGAAATAATACGTTAAAGAAAAAAACAACTATGAAGTATCCACAGATTTGTGCTAGTATTGAATAATTATAACGTATGAAGTAATTTTTTTGTTTTCTGCGTATGAGAATAAACTAGAGAAAAAAAGCTAAACAGAAATGGTGAGTCAACGGTAGCAACCAGCACTTCATTTCATTTTAATTTGGTACAAGAGAGAAGACAATAGTGAACTCAAAAGGATATAAAGATGCTTTCTTACCTATCTTGTTTACTTCTCTAAAAACTAGGCCCTAAACAAAACGAGTCACCTTTTAAGACGCTAGGCATTTTCTGCACTGATTATTTTGTTATGATTAGGGGTGGGAAGTTACCGTTCCCCGACCGTTCCCCGGGAACGGTAACGGTAACGGTTCCTATGGGAGGAGTTACCAGTTACCCGGGTAACGGGTAACGGGACCGTTACCAGTTACTTTTTCCTGGTAACTTCTCAGAAACACGAAATATCACTTCTATTCGACCGAATATTGACAACGCATCAATAAAAAAATTTGGAGTTACCAGTTACCCTGGTAACTGTTTCCCGTTACCAGTTACCTGGGAACGGGTCAACTTAAAAAATAATGCAATGACGAAATTCTCTCCACGGGAAGGAATAATTCGTCTTTTTGGAGAAGTTACCAGGAAAAAGTAACTGGTGACCGTCCCGTTACCAGTTACCCAGGTAACGATAACGGTCCCGTTACCGTTACTCGGGAACGGTAACGGGAACTTCCCACCCCTAGTTATGATCTATCATAGTTTGGTTCGTTGCTGAGGAAACGAACTTCTCAGCGACATGTAACCAAATCAAAGTATTTCTTCGAAACAAAATCAACGCCAAATTGTGTCTTATCTTATGATAACTAAGAATAACTTAGAATTCCAGCAAATTTTTTCATTGTACAAGTTTTTTCTATAGATGGCGAAAGTGAGAAATGTATTTGTTATTGTGATAGGTTGAGCACAGAAACTTCTCCGGGAGGTAGTACACCATTCAAGTATCTATAGTTATTTCAGTTGTGTATAGCTATTTAAGTTTTTCATAGCAACTTAAGCAGCTTTATGACTTTGGAAGTTGATCTTATCCATTAATGTTTATTATTGATATTTAAGTATTTGTATAACTAATATATATTTCAAATTGCGGTTTTTATAAGTATTACCGGGTGTCCCAAAATGTTTGCACACTTTTTATTTTGCACATATCTCAGTA